TTCATTTTAAGCGGGCAGATTGAGCATCCTATTGAATCAGTGAAAAAGCCCTGAACAACACTGGTAAGAATTAGTCCAGTAAGATTGCAGAGCTTCATACAATCCGAAACTCGAATCCGCGTCGAGTAAATATTATACAAAGCCAAAAACTAAATTAGGTCCCTAACTTTACTTTGAACACTGAATTTTATGCTTATTGGGATGGGTTGGGGGGTTGACCTACCTCCACTGTATGTCACATTCGATATATCCACAGTACCCATCTTTACTTTTTCTCTACCTTTGTGTCTGCCTATCACTTTTACATCTGTTGATCACTATTCTGTCCCCCCCTCTACACTTTTTTGCCACTTTGATGTTCCTCTCCTGGGGTGTGCGATAGACTTACCTCCACGTGGTGCACCCTGGGCAACGTATACTCATAAGGCAAAAAAGTCTATTAACCGGTAATTGACTTCTGATTTCAAGCTACCCCCCACTGTATGCCATATTCAACCCGTTTACAGTACTCATCTTACCTTTTCTCTGTTCTTTTGTCGGTCTCTGTCACATCTGTGAATCATTATTCTGTCCCCCCCCCCCTCTCGACCTTTTGTCACTTTGATGTTCCTCCTCCTCTCTGTGAAGCCCGAAGTCAGCTAAATGGCTAATGATAACTATCAAAACGCCTGCCATTTGAAATAAATAAATGTTCCTCTCCTCTGTGAACCATGAAGTCAGCTAGAGTTAATGATAGTATCATAAAGCCTCCCATTTGATATACAAACAAATAAAGCTCATTAACACAGGTCTTAGTGCCTCTCACAAAAAATGTTAGCCTTATCTTGGGTCATAATGATTTACTGATGAGAATTAATTGAAAAATGCGGAATAAATCTGGTTAAGTTCAGGACAAAATCAGCCAACCATAACAAAATTCCAAAATGCTAAAATAGTGCTTCAAAATTGAACCACCTCAAACAAGACAGCACAGATAAAACAAAACTGGTATAAAGCTGCGCGATATGGATACGTGAGAATTTGAATGGAGTTAAGTAAAGAACATTGGGGGTGGGGGGGGGGGGGGGGGGGGGGGGGGAGTGGGGGAGATGACTGGTTGTGGAGATGTATGTACAGACTGCTTAATGGAAAAGCAAGAAAAAACGAAGGATAGGATATTAGTCTGGTTAGCGGAGCGACTAGGAGTGAACAAATGTGATTGTAATCATGGATGCTGGTTGATCTATCCTACTGGTGACTCTGGGAGCTCTGTTCACGAAGGTAGTAGAGACTCAAACTGTTTGCACCGCTCCAAAAACGCCGACTGATTTCGTCGACAGTGGTGCCTGGCTGGAGTTGAACGTACTCTCCACTGCTCTCATTATAGTAGAAGACTAGGAAGGGCGGATCATTGCCTATGTCAAGAAAAAAAGGCATAAACTAATGTGCCCAATGTACAATTTAAATCTTAGTGAGGTAGATAAGGTACCCAAAACATCCTTGAGGACTCGCTGAAGATTAAAACGGATCAAGAGAAACGTTCCAAGGTGGTCGACTAAAATAGGAAAAAAACAATTATTTGAAGAACCAAATTGGCATTGCAACTGAAATGCAATATAGAGTTATCAAATCAAGAATGGTCAGATGATTCTGCTGCAGTTCTTGTTCGGAGAGAAACCCCACTTAATCAGTGGCAATGAACCGATCAAAAATATAAAAAAAGATTAGTACAATTGATCAGTTCGTCATGGGCATTCAAAGCAGATGGACATTAAATAAATCAGAGAGCCGTACATCATAGCAGAATCACTTTTCTCATGCAAACCAATGAGGCTAGAGATGTCGCAAGAGGAACGTCATAATGTGACCAATGGAAAATCTACTTAAACGCACTTTATACTGATAGCCTATCTAAATTAGCGAACTCCAGTTGATTCATATAAGGCTAATTCTAAGCTGCTGGCTCTCCCATTAACGGGATTTAAGGTACCGCCTTGCTACTCCCAACATTTCATTAACGTTAATTTCCTCATTCAAGTTCTTTGTAAATGACGAACGAAGTGTTTCGACACCCCGTTCTCTGCCCTTTTATAAATCCATGTAGCAATCACGAGGTATGACAAACGCACACACACGCATGTGCGTGATATTGGCGACTAAGTTAAGAAAATGCATCCATGACAACGAACTTGTATTTCAAATGATGCGATGTGCCGACAAAACAAAGGTAATAGCCGCAGCATTTATGCATCGTTAAGGTGAAATCTATTCCCACAGGATGTCTTCAAATCACCTATCGGTCTTTTCAATACTAGCTCCTGAAAGCCCGATATCTTTGGGGAATGGTACTATTAGAAGTCTGGTAGTGCTTTGATTTCCCATCACCAAAAAGGACGCATCTTGCTAACTGCATTCCGTTTTTTCTCTCATGATCTGCCCAACTGTAGCCACGTGATTCACTAATGATGAAATCATCCACTAGGATAGTTTTCGAAAACAAAAAAACCCTTCTTTCAACTGCTAGGAGTGTTTTGAATTTACACCCACGATTGGATAAAAGCAGACCAAAAGGAGGACTGCTAGAGGGGCCTGCTAACAGCTAATGCTATCAATATAGATGCCTGAAAAACCACATTAAGAGGCCATTAGAATGTAGCGGTTAACTTTGCTTTGAATGCGAGACCGAATACAAAAGAATCCCCTCCACCACTCCCTTCAGGAGATTAGATCTAGAGTTAGGAATACGAAGTAAAAATGTATAAAATAAATTGGTAAAAAAGCAAAACATGGGATTTCCAAGTATCCACGAAATACTCTCCTGATAAGGTTTATACGCTTTTATACTTCAAGGAGAGCTATGAATAAACACGTAAGATAAAAAATTGTATTTAAAATTGAGCGCAAACCGCATTCTTGTGAAATAGGGGAATAAATTTTAACCCCCACACCAGAAGAAAGGAATGTTTGAACGCTTTTCAAATTTATTTATTTAATTGTTCCAATTAACAAAAACACCCAAACCCAAGGAAAAGTTTTAACAACGTTTAATTTGTGTGCAGTGATAATAGCGCTCACATTATGACCGACGCTAATCAGTGCCAGTGGGCACCCACAGCACAGTTGGCGTGTTTGCTAATGAGTAGCAATCTGGTGACCTCTAACTTTCAGATGTTTATATTGACTACCGCGCCAATGTCATTTTAATAATATAGTTAAAGTCCCTCTTTACCAAACATACATTAGTAACGAGAGGCAAATACAAAAAAAGGCGAGACAAAGAGTGTAAAATACTGTTTCCAATAAATATGGACAATTTTAAAGTGAGTACTCCTTTAACCCTTTTAGACCACCTATTTAGAGAAAGTTTAGGCAAAGTTGATTATACCTAGATTTTTAATCCGAACAACAATATATGCTGGGAAGACGCAGATCTTTACTCGATATAATAAAAGAGTGGTTTTAAACCATTGTAACTGCCTGTATCTCTCTCCTCTGGATAGTTACCTAGCTCTACTATCTTGGTATTTAATTTTAGCTATTGATGTAACCTTCCTTTTATGAGATCTGAGTGAATAGACTATGACAAAAACGGAGCAAGACACTCACCAGTAGCATTCGACGGAACCTTAATATACTTGACCGGAGTAGACGAGTCCTCAGAACCCATATCTGATACAGCTCCTCTAGGACTCGAGGGTGCAGTGCGGTTCTCTTGTTTCATCTCCTGTGCACCATCAAGCGAGGAAGCAGTAGCACCGCTATTTCTACGAATGGTAGCATCAAGAGGCAGGGGTTGGAGCATTAACTCAATCTCCGGTACCACAGTAGTGGTTGAATTGGAAGGCGCAGATGTAGTAGTACGAGAAGTGCGTTGAGTTCCTTGGGTTACTGACGATGCAGATTGGTGATGAAAATCAATTGAACTTGCAGCTCCTACTGACCCCGTCTCCATGGTACCACTCTCAGCGTCTGAGTTCACTCGGGAAGGGGCTCGTTGATTTAAACTACCGGCCTATAAGAGAAAGGAAACGAAAGCAGTCAATGCCTGTGGCTAAGCAAAATTTCGCGTTAAGTAGCCTACGTGTTGTGGTAGAGGATAATGATTTCGTTGGTACTCTTATATCCTCATAGCTAGCCAAAACTTACACTCGTTCGATTACCTTACACATCTTTACCAAGTTCTATCGTTTATTAGAAATGAAACTATCCTATTCAAATAAATGCTTAAGGTAATACACTTCAATCATAATAACTTCGAATAGCATTAGACCAGTGTCAAAAAACATTGAAATGTCCAATTTCTCCAACAAGTACCATACAAAATAAGAATAGAATTCCAAATATTTGATACACCTAGCCCACCTTCGGGTATTAATACCTATCGCAAAGGAATGGAATTAGAAAAAAATGGGAAGGAGTAACTTGACAGAAATTATCTGATGAGAAACTCGTACCAACTACACATGTTTTAGACAGCATGACTGGCTATGTTAATAGATGTGATAATGATGACCAGAATCATTACCTATAACGACATGACCACATAGATTGTAAATAAGCATTCTACAAGTCTATCCCATTCAATTTAAATTGTGATGAAGACCGAAAGTAGGACAGATTTTTCTACTTACTTACTGATTTTAGAGCGATTTTCCCTTTATGACAAATGCACTGAGTGTAAAAATTTTAAAAACGATAAATATTGAAGATAGGATGAGAAAAAAGAGCTACCGATAATAGTGAAAAGTATAAAAAAGCGAATCGACTTTATATTTACATATTTTCATATGAACGAAGTGTCGCAAATGAAAATAACGAAAAGAATCACGTTTCTAAATGTAGTTAATTGAAAAATGGTTAGACTAATGCAATCGAAAGCAAGAATGAATTTGTTGGTGAATTATAGAAAATATACCAAATGCAAACCAACACACTTAAGTGAAAAAAATAACAAAGCTAGAATAAAAGCCCAACATCCAAAAGCCTAACGAATATTCGCTCGAGGCAACGGAAGATCAATTTTTTGATGGAGAAAAAAATAGATTAAAATCGCTGATAGAAGTTGTTTGTAGCTTACAATTGATGCTGTATCGTCTTCACTGATCACAGATTCTGATGCAGTAAAACCATTATTTCCAACATGACGGCGATTTCGATAGCGCGTTCCATCAACATCTGAAGAGCCTTGGCCATCATGAGCAGCACCTCTACCATTGAATTGGTGCTTGTTCAACTTGGCCAGAACCCTGTTCTGATGAGCCTCATATTCCTCTCTGTCTGGGTAGATTTTCGCGATAAGAGCGTCAAAGTTAGGATCTCGTCTAAGAGAGCGCTTAGAAACCAACTTTTTGCGACAAGTTGGGCACTCCTTGTTACCATTTCGCAAAGCGGTAACAATACAATCTGAACAAAAGCGATGAAGACACTCTTTAGTGGTCATTGTAACTTTAAGAATATCAAGACAAATTGGACACATGAGTTCAGACTGAAGGCTACGCGGACTGACAGCTATCTTTGTACCATCAGTAATGGGTTCCTGCGGCTTGCGCTGCATCTCATACAACGTTAACTCCCAATTTTTCATCGGAGCGTTCTCCATAACCATAACAAATAAAACCTTCAAAAATTAATACAGAAATAAGAAAAATATGCAAAATAAATCAATATTCAGCATTAAAAGGAATAAGAACGATTCTATAAAATATATATCCAATTACACTATAAGTATTACGCCACTAGGAATTTCAAGCCAAGTGTAAATTTAGAGATGAAACGTTATTTCCATAATAATAAAGAGCAAAACACAATGCTGACAATAGAACTGAAACTTTTAAATCAATCAAACCTGGGGACAGGCCAACAACAGCAGCAGAAAGTGCTCGCAAAACTAATCCTCCAAATACCCGCTCTGCTTCTGGCTTACTAGAACGTATTGAATATATACCAATTATGAGGTCATTGCAAAATATTATTCAAAAAAGTTTCAAACTAATATATATGATGACCAAACAATTATCGTAAAAATTATTAATTAAATTGTACTTCAATTTAAGATATTTTTTGACATTTATTAACATTCTGGAATTAATCCAAGCCACATCAAATTTTACCATTGGCGTAAAGGTCACAAGCATCCTTGACTGGTTCGCGTGAGTTCCGACTTCTTCCAAGAATAGTGTCTTGTTTCACATGGTTTATTGTTATATCATTTACTAGCAATTATCTAACTAAGTTTATTTTTGTTAAACAATATTAGAATATTCTAGGAAGATTCTTTTGCTCATTTTCGATTTACAGTTGTTTAGTGAATTTTTTGCATATCGGATTCGTTGAAAATGATTTATTATTGTGGGTTTTAATCTCTAATGCATTTTAAATGGCTTAGCTGAATCATTCATAAAAGACTGAAAGTTTTAAAAACTTCATGAGCACGTTCTAGGACTAAGCTTACGTATAATTAGTCTATTTTCGTACCGTAAAGATCTTGTTTTTATTTTTCTATCAAAGTATGTATACGTTTGAATTGATCTACTTTTAAGTCGTTCCAACTTTACCAATTTTCCTCTTCAGTGTTTTGTGCCGTTGCATCATGGCCTCGAAGAAAGCGAGATCCCGTTCACCAAAAGCCAGTATTCTTCTTATTATGGGGTGTTTAGCTGCCTTATTTGGAATCTACATCTTCTCTTGCGGATTTCTTTTAACTCGTTCTGAGTTAACTAACGTAACGATTGCTACCCATAGGCGTAGCCCTGAATTTCAACAAATCGTACTACTTCTTGTCGACGGTTTATACACGGGCTTACTTCCTCCCTTCGATAAAACCCCTCGAATGCCATTTTTTCATAATCTTCTCGACGCGAACGACTCCCGGCATCACTTCTTTGCTCACTTCATAGCAGATCCTCCCACGACTACTATGCAACGTTTAAAGGCTCTACTTACCGGTAGTATGCCAACTTTCATCGATGCTGGGAGTAATTTTGGGGGTACTGAGCTTCAAGAAGACAATATCATTAAACAATGGGCTCTAGCTGGGAAGAAGATATGCTTCGTCGGTGATCAGGTCTGGACTGAATTAGTCTCTGAAGGGTATGTCACATGAAAATTTCAACCTCCTTATCTCAGTACCTAACTGTACCCTTTATTGTTTAACTAGATTTTTTGAGAGCTTACCACTGCCCGCTTTCAATATAAAGGACCTTGACACAGTTGATACTGCTGTTAAAGATTATATTCTTCAAGAGGCTGGAGGCAGTAAGTGCGATGTGCTTATTGGCCATATGCTTGGAATTGACCACTGTGGACACACGTTTGGTCGGTCGCATCCGGAGATGGATAGAAAACTGGGTGAATTGGATGAATTTCTGAGGTAAATATTCATTGCTTTGGCTATTTTTATTCATGCGTGTTTAAGGTTTTCTAAGTAAGTTGCTATTCCTGGTGCCCGAGTTATATCTCTTAATTGTACTCGTAGCTGATGTAATAGCCTTTCTCAAACTTTGACTTCGTTGTATCGTTTATTCTTGTTGTGGATCAATGAAATTACTTGAAGAACTCTCAACCAGAAAATAGCCAAGAAAGATCTTTAATGGTCATGTTGATTAGCTCTATTTTCCAGTATGCAGTAGTAGGTTGACGTGATACAAAATTTGACTTGCGAGATAGTTTGCAAAGGTCTTTCGTTGAGGTTAGCACTTTATATCGTCTAAAATGTTGCGTACAGGACTATGCCGCATTCGACCCTTCGTCAATGAACTATCTATTGAGGTTGTCTTCATTTTATCCAACATTTATTTCAAATGGCAGGCGTTTTGATAGTTATCATTAGCCCTTTCGCTGACTTCGGGCTTCACAGGGGGAAGGAACATCAAAGTAACAGGAATTCGAGGGGTGGGGAACAGAAGAGTGATTTACAGATGTAAAGGAGACAGACACAAAGGCAGAGAAAAGGTGAGGTGAGTACAGTTGAAGTGGTCGAATTCGACATACAGTGGGGTGATAGTAGTTTGAAGTGAGAAGTCAACCGCCGGTTGATAGACTTTTTTGCCGTATGAGAATACGTTGTCCAGGGTGCGCCACGTGGAGGTAAGTCTATCGCACACCCCTTTTATCCAACATAAGTATTTTTAAACTCTTCCCACTTTGGGTGCACCGGGGCTGGCAATTTAGCAACTCTGAAATGACAGTTTGTTTATTCTAGAGAGTGCAAGTAAATAGACCAA